ATATAATATAATATAATAACATGTAGCAGTGTTCATTATATTTTATTATTTTATATTACCATTTAAAAGTATATATTTTTAAACTTCTATTTAGCAAAGATGCATTAAAATCATCAAAAGTAACACTAAAGACATTTATAATGTTAGAAAAGATAAACCTGTGTTATGTATTGTGGAGCAGGAGCTGGTGAGGAAGCCTCTGGACTAGTATGGATCTCTGTAGATGACCAACCAGTTCATCCACTGTCTGAACACACTCATTCTGAGGAACTCAGTCTCTCTCTTTCAGCTGGGACTCCATCACTGGAGCACACCATCTTCCTTACACCGATGTAAGTTCTTCCTGTTCTTTCCTTAATTCATTTCATTGAAAATAGTGATGATCAATATTGCGTTAGTCTAAATGAAACTAACTGTGTTTCATTGTGTCTGTAAACTGCAGCCTGAATGGCTCTGCCAAAGACCTGTTTGTGAAGCTGAATGGTAGCGTCAGCGGTGTGGACGTGTCCGTCTCAGTGTGTGTGTTCAGCATGCTGTGCCGGTTCTTCAGTGTTGATGAGAGGCGCTGGAGCAGTGATGGCTTGAGTCCTCTGAGTGGCAGCAGCCCCCATACTGCCCACTGCCTCACACATCACCTCACTATGTTTGGAGCCAGCCTCTTCATCCATCCTGAAGCACTTCTACTGCTGCCACCTGTATGCCATTATGTTTAAAGATATAACATAATTTCACCATTAAAGGGAATATACACTACTATTTAAAAGTTCAAAAGAAATTAATACTTTTATTCAGCAAGGATGCATGAAATTGATCAAAAGTGACAAGACTTTTAGATTGTTACAAAAAGTTTCCATTTCATATAAATTAAGTTCTTTTCACTTTTTATTAATACAATGATTAATTAAATAATTGTAATTAATAAAATATTAATTACAATGATTTCTGAAGGATCATGTGACACTGAAGACGTTGCCATCAGAAATAAATTACATTTTAATATCTATTAAAATAGAAAACATTTGTTTTTTTATTGTAATATTTCATATTTTTTTATATTTAGTTTTGATCTAATAAATACAGCTGTGGTGAGTGACTTCTTTAAACAACATTTAAAAAATCTTATTAACCCTAAACCTTTTAACGGTAGTGTGTATTACATTATTTAATTTTTTATTTAATTTATATAATTAAATGATTGTAATGGTCAGTGGGTGTCAGTGTTGAAAAAGTACTTTTCACAATATATTAAAATTGAAAAAATGTTATTTTAAATTATAATAATATTTCACAATATTACTGTTTTTACTGTAATTTTGATCATACAAATGCAACCTGGTGAATATATGAGACTTCTTTCAAAAACAATAATAAAAAAAAAACTTACAGACCCCAAATGTTTTAACAATACTGTATGTAAACATGACAACCCTGACAAATCAGTGATGAACATTATTTGTGTCACCAGTCAGAGGAGCCAGTGAGGAATGTGGTGGTGGGAATAGTTTGTGGAGTCTTGCTGTTAATTTATCTGCTGGTTGGTCTTATCGCTCACAAACTGGATCACCTGGAAAGTCTACGTCTTAGCTGGGTTCCTCTGTGTGGTCAGAAAGGTCACTACAAGTACAGGGTTCTTGTCAAAACAGGCTGGAAAAAAGGGTCTGGTGAGTAGAACCTTTAATGTACATGCTAAAATTATTCATCGACCTCATAAAACTCAACAAACATTTGAATTCATCAGGTACCACTGCACATGTTGGCATTAGCCTGTATGGCCTGAATAAAAGTGGTTCACGTCACCTTCAAAGAGAAGGAGCTTTCCAGAGGAATAGCGTGGATGACTTCCAAGTTGAAACAGATGCCAATCTCGGAGAGATCTGGAAAGTACGCATCTGGCATGACAACACAGGTCAGTGGCTGTGAATAGCTTCTTTCTTTCTTTCTAAAATAACAAATACTCACAAACAATGCTCTATTTTCCAGGCCTAGACCCATCCTGGTACCTAAAACATGTGATAGTCTGGGACATACAGACAGACAACATGTTCTTCTTCTTGGTAGAAGACTGGTTATCTGTGGAGAATGAGAAGAACTCTGGAAGGGTGGAGAAAATTATTTTAGCGTCTTGTAAGTATACACATGCAGTGCAGCGTAAATCATATTTGCTTTTCATAACCTTGTGATCCTTGTAGGTCCTCAGGAGCTGCAGCAGTTTAAGAGGATCCTACATTCCCAGTTACTGTTTGGCCTTCGAGAGCACCATCTCTGGATTTCATTATGGGAACGGCCGGCCCACAGCCGCTTTAGCCGAGCCCAGAGGGTCACCTGCTGCGCCCTCTTATTACATCTCTATCTGGCAGCTGGGGCAGTTTGGTATGGAGCCGTGGGCAGAAAGGGCAGCAGGTAATAGACTTGACCTTCAAAAGGCATGGATAACAGATTGAGCTTGCATAGCTTACAGTGTAGGTGCAGGTAATTACATCTTGTAAAACAAAGCTATTTCTGTTTTTCTCTGAGCTACAGAAGTCTTCGCTATTGATTAATGGCACAGGAGAATAATATTCATCACTAAACAAATTAATGAATTTCCTCTCATTCCTCTCAAAACAAATGGGTTTCACATTCTTCACATTTGTTACTGTTTCGACTGCAGCGGCCCGGTCTCTACCCAGATGGTGATGAATGCAGAGAACATTCTGGTTGGAATAACAGTTGCAGCTTTGATGTTCCCTCTCCAAACCATTCTCAGATTTCTCTTCCAAAACACCAAAAGCAAGGTATATATGTCAGTCTACATAATCCCTTCTGAAACCATACTGTAGATATTATATTTTAAGTTAAACTACCGTTCAAAAGTTTGGGGTTGGTAAGATTTTTTTTTATGATTTTGAAAAGCGTCTGTTTGCTCACCAAGGCTGCATTTATTTTGATCAAAAATAGTTATATTGTGAAATATTGTGAAAAAAAAATTCTATTTTAATCTATTTTAATATGTCATTTATTTCTGTGATGGCAAAGCTGCATTTTCAGCAGCCATTACTCCAGTCTTCAGTGTCACACAATCCTTCAGAAATCATTGTAATATGCTGATTTGGTGCTCAAGAAACACTTCCTATTACTGTCACAGATGAAAACAGTGCTGCTTAATATTTTTGTGGAAATCGTGATATTATTTGAAATAGAGATCTTTTGCGACATTATAAATGTCTTTGCTGTCACTTTTGATTAATTCAATACATGCTTAATAAAAGTGTTAATTTCTTAGTCTTAATGACCCCAAACTTTTGAGTGGTAGAGTGCATACATGAAAAACCCACACTCATAGTGCAATGCTATGGATTGTGTTGAAGGTGACATTGGCGGTATCTCTGCCTCCCTCTCCTGTGTCTCATACTGTGGAGATGGATGTTTTCCTCAGTCACCCAGATCTCTCCTGTTCATCTTTTCTGTCACTGCCGACAGGCCCTGACTCTTCCATCTATGATGGACCATCTCCTTTCACTGTGAGAGAAAGTCCATTCCCATGTTTAATTAATTGGTTTTATAGAGAGTCATCAAGCATAATTTCCTAAATGAATACATTTACTGCATATTCTCTCTGCATCTTTTTTCCCCCTCAAAGAATTCCCTGCAGAAACTAGATTCAGAGTTCTGGAATACTCCAGATCCCAGGAATGACCGGTACCAAGTCTATTCTACGTGAAATTGCAGTACTACATCCCTTTAAACGGTTTATGTAAATATACAGTGTTATTTTACACATTTTACAGAATGGATCAGTGGCCATCATGTGACAGTATCTTTGGCCTGTCTGAGCTGACAGGAACCAGTCACCTTCTGAAGAGAAAAAAAGCCATTCTACAACTATATTTGTCAACTCCGACCTCTGACCACAACACCTTAGAGCCAATCAAGTCTTCAGGTTTGAAGAAGCACAATCACTCTCTGGAATGAAAGATTCTGTCATTATTTACTCACCCTCACGTTGTTCCAAACCTGTATGAATTTCTGTGGAACACAAAATATTTGTTGTGCTCTTTTCCATATAATAAAAGTGAATAAGAACTGGGGCTGTCAAAATCCAAAAGGACAAAAGTGCACCCTAAAAATCATCTATACAACTTGTTCACTATATTTTATGTTTTCAGAAGAAAAAAAATCATACAGATTTGGAACAACATGAGGGTGAGTAATCGATTACAGAATTGTTTAGTTTTTAGGTGAATTATTTCTTATATGGAACCATTTGCTCTTTTTTAGAGGAAGATCTTAGCACTATAACTGCAGACCTGGATCCCTCAAACACACTTTCCTTGGAGCCAGAAGCATCTGACAGTGGCCATTTCACACCCAACGACACCATCCTGTCTGACATGTGAGTTCTGTACTGAACGTTTCACACTGACCCACGCACAGTTTAACCAGGATGCGTGATTTACATACATTTCTTTTTCAGCCAGGACAGCTTGTGTAGTGAGTGGTCTGATCTGAGTGTGGATACGCCTACATCTGAACCTGGCTTTCACAAGTCCTCCTCCTCACTCTCAGTGCTCAGTGATGCCAGCACATTTCTCCCTAGTCTCCCACCCGACTCTATAAGCACCATCTCCAACACACGCATTGGTGAGCGCACACCATACACAGGGAGAGAATTGATATTTTCAATTGAGATATTGAAAGGTGGTAAGACATGCTACAACACGTGCAAATTAAACGTGTGACCATGAGTGAACATGTGGTCATTTCCTGATCACAATACCAAAAGTTTGGGGTCGGTAAGATGTATTTTTGTTAATGTTTATGAAAGTCGCATATGCTCACCAATGCTGCACTTATTTGATAAAAATACAGTAAAAACAGCAATATTGTAAATTATTACAACTTAAAATAACTGTTTTCTATCTTAAAGTATTTTAAAATGTAATTTATTTTTGTGATGGCTGAATTTTCAGCATCCATAACTCCAGTCTTCAGTGTCACATGATCCTTCAGAAATCATTCTAATATGCCGACTTCATGCTCAAGAAACATTTCTTATTATTATATTTTGGTATATATTTATATTTATATTTATAATGGTATATATTGTCTTTGAAGAATAGAAAGTTCAAAAGAACAGCATTTATTAAAAAAAATTATTTTGTATTTATTTAATTTAATTTAATTTAATTTTGTTTTGTCTTTACTGTCACATTTGGCCAATTTAGTATTAGACCAAGTATTAATATTAATTTTTAAAAAATTACTTACCACAACAGTTGAGTTTGAACAGTAGTGTATACATATTGAGAGAGAGAGAAAAACTAAATATCACAAAATGTGTATCATTTTAATTGTTTTGTCTGTGTGTGAACCTCTGTATGGGCTGTTCTTCAGGTGTTGTTCGTGGTGTACCTGGCTTGTTTCTTCCATCATGGGTTCTGCGTATGGTTTATCTGCTGGTGGCTGTTTTGCTGGGAACAAGCCTGGCTCTGGTGGGACTATATGGAAGCAGGTTTTCCAGCTCTGTGGTTCTCATGTGGCTGGTGTCTGCCCTGTCAGCCTTCCTCACTTCTGCCTTGCTGTTGGAACCATTTGCAGTGAGTTATAAACGTATTTTGCACTGTTTCTTAGATTAAAAGAAATTGAAAGATGTAGATGTTTATGTTCTGATATTTTTCTGCAGGTATGTATTCAGGCACTATATCTGGCTGCTGTGGTGAAACCAGTAGACCCAGAGGTGGAGAACCGTTTGGCTCAGGAGACAGAAGTCAGAAGGAGAGAGGAGGATCTGGGGGATAAGGTGCATCCTCTTTGTGGATACGGCCTGCTGCAGGCTAAAGAGGAAGCACGGAAGCTGAGAACACTTAGAGCCTTAATGAGGGTGAGCTCAGACCCACAGATGAATCCATTCAGCACTCATTTAGTCCTCAGAGACCTATAACAGCTGGATTTCTCCTGCATTCTGACTCTAATGCATATTAATATTAATTTTAATGGTCTTTTGTTTCATGTTTTACGCTGATAATCAGAGCTGCTTAGTCTATATGCTCTTCCTGTTGGTGGTTCTGATGGTGAACTACCAGGAATATGTTCATGAGGCTAACAGCAGACGGCTTCACTCGGCTATTAAACACACACTGATCAGGGCTTTACCAGGTCAGCCCAGTCTCACTGCATTATCAGGGTAAGTCAGACTCTTTACATTCACTTCCCCCAGTAACTCATGTTCTGCTGAAACTGACTCTGAGGTCCTAGAGACCCCAGAGATTTGTGTAAAAATAATTTGGTGTTGGTGTCTCTTTTAAATATGTTCCTCCGACCTAATCAAAACTTTAAATGCAATTCAGAAATGTGACTTTAGTTTAGTAATGCTGCTTAATTTTGAAGTCTGAGAGACCATATAAATGGCTTGAAAATTGGTTAGAAAAAGAGATTGCATTAGTTAGAGATGCAAAGTTTATTATAATAACAACAAAAGTACAAGATAACTAAAAAAAAAAAAACAGAACAAAAGACTGTGAGAAGAGCATGTTGGTGAAACATGCATGACAAAACCAGACAATGAACACAGGAAACATGAGGGCTTATATACACAGGGGTTAACTAGACTAACTGGACACATCCAGCAACCATCAGGCTAAGGGAAATGAGGAAACTGGAACAGGAACCAAGCAAAACTACTACAAAATAAGAGTCTGCATTACAAAACAAGGGCACAAAGAATGGAAGAATATATATTCTAAAAATGGATAAAACTAACAAAATGAATTTCAACTTGTCGTGAATCAGTGAAAGTAATTTTATTTCAAAATTGTTTTTCTCATAGATGGATGGATGCAGAACAGTGGGTAGATGAGAGATTAATATCACACCTGTTTGAAAACCCTTCTCTTTCTTTAACTGGCCCTGCAAGACTGCAGAAAGTTCATTTTCAAGACTGTAAGGACTTACGTTGTTAGGTCAAATTTAGCTTTTTGAGAATTTACTAAAACTATATATAAATATAGAATTTGATTTTTCCCTCCTCAAAGTCTGCAGTCAAGACATCAGAGATAAGTTCCAATCTGGTCGACTTCCTTTGATGCTGACTGCTAATGTTTCATCACATGCCAACCCTGTACACCAGAGCTCCTCAACACACAGCAAGAACACTGCAGCACTTTCAACATGGTGAGAGATATCAGGACACAAAGATAAAGACTTTTAGTGTGTGAATAAGTTGTCATGCAGCCTGAAAAGCTGAGAATATAACAACGTTTTCCTTAGTGCATTTGTCTTCTGGCATATAATCACAATGTCCTCTCTCAAGGCCGAGGACTGAGAGTGCATCATGTGCATTCAGTCAGACAGAGGAAGTAGTGCTTGGGAACAACAGTGAATTCACACGTCGGATCCTGTCGGGCTTACAGACAACAAAGTGGATGACAACAGGGTATGATGTCACGCCATTATACACAAACTAGCACTACAGAATAAAACCTTGTTCTCTAAATGTCCAGACTTGTATTTAGGACCTTTCTGAATGCATGCTGTAAGTATGGAAGTTATATAGAGTTATTAGTACCAGAGACCCAGCATGCTCATCAGCTGAATGATTTTTGATTCTTATGTTTTCTGTGACAGGACAAAGGCAGTATTGATTGAGTTCACTCACTATCATAAACAGACAGGCGTCTTGGCACCGGTCTCTATTCTCCTGGATCAAACACAGACAGGCAGAATCCTTTCTTTCATTTCCATCCAGCCTTTACACGTCTCTCCATTATCTGGTCCAGACTTACACGTCACATTGACGGTACTGATTCTCCTAGTTCAGATTCAGTTTGAACAGAATCTTAAAAAGTTGGATCTGTGGTCTTCTTGTGGACTTCTACAGGACTGCGACTCTATTAACAGCTGTCTTCTTACTAGGTTCTGCTACTGCTGTTTGCCCTGTGCTTTGTGAGTGCTGAAGTATGGGCCTTGATCAGAAAGCCAAGTCAATACCTGAGGCAAGCCTGGCGCTGGTTTCAGCCATTGTTAGCTCTTCTGACGCTAGCAGCAGCTGTTCTTCATCTGTATTTCCTCTACACGACTGCAGCCTTCATCTCCAGACATTGCTCCAGGCCCTCCTGCTTTGCTGACTTCCATAGTGCTGCCACACTGGCCAGAAAGTCCAATCAGCTCTCAGCAATTTTATTAACCCTCTTGGTTCTAAAGGTATTAGCCCTAAAGCAAAGGATTTTTTTTAAACTAAATTTGCATTCCTAAATGAAATGCCAGTACATGCTGCAAAAATAGCATACAAAATATTGGCATGATCTGTTTTCTAAGTGGATGGTAGTGATCTTAAATGCATGTTATTGATTTATTCTTTCCTATATTTATTTTTTTATGTAATTTTATTCAAAATGAAATAACTGGATCTTTTGATGAAACAACATACTTCTCTCTGGTGAAACCTCACCCCTTTTTTAAATTTGACCTCAAGCTCACATTCAGACCTGCCTCCATTGAAATTAACAAATAATGCATTGAAGTCCCGGCACTACATTTTTTTTCAGTGATCAGTTTTACTCGGATGTACCTCACAATATAGAAGAATAGATCTGTCACTACTTCCTTTACATTACAACTTTAGCAAAGCTTGTAATCAAATAAATACAATACAAAAATGTAAATAACATACTGTAAATATAGAAAGAAAATGGGAAAGACATTAACAGCATTATGCATATAACATAAAAAAATGAACTACATCACAATTTGTGACCAATCACAATTTAGCATGCAAATATTATTATGACACTTCACTTCAGCAGCATTAGAAGTTCATGGGAGATTTTAGAACATAAGCTTGCATTTCTTATAAAGTAAAACATTTATAAAGACGATATATATTTTAGGACACCTGTGACTTAAGAAATTATCTACAAAGCAAAAATTGAAAGTCATCTGTAATTTTTGAGTTGAATTAATTGCGGAAATGTTATACTTAAAGTACCTTGCAAGCACTGCAATGAAATTTATTCTGTTGAAGTCAAGCTCTGTTATGAAACAATCTGTTTGTCAGTCAAAGTGTAGTGCAGGACTTGAGAGGTATGTTTTTACAGATGGTGGGGATCCTGCGGTTTGTTAGGCGATGGTTGGTGATAGGACGGGTTATTCGACAAGTATTCCCTCAGATCTGTGGCGTGGTGTTCCTGCTGCTCCTCCTGTTGCTTCTATTCTCTCACACAGGCATCATGGTAGAATGTTTTTTTTTTTTCATTTTTTCATTTGACATTGCATTGTATTTTTTTTTTAAAGGGGTCATATGTTGGTCTGCACCAAGAGCTTGTAACACTCCAAAGAGAAAGGAAAAATTGAAATAGCATCACATGACCCCTTTAAATCTTTTTTTGCTTCTCACATGCAGCTCAAGTCATTCTCTCCATCTCTTTCAGCTCTTCTCAGGTTCAGTAGAGGGCTTTAGGACCTTAGGGCAGGCCAGTTCCTCTCTGCTGTGTTTGTTAAGGGGGCACATGGGGTTGCGTCGACTTTGTGAGCATCATCCTGTGGTGGGACCTCTCTACTGCCTGTCTGCCGTGGGCATTGGATTTTGGGTACTGGGGCGCCTATGTGCTGCTGTATTGATTCGAACATACCGAATGGTACAGGCAGACATTTACAGACCATCCATGGAGCCGCAGGACTATGAGATGGTACAGTTCCTCATTAAACGCCTCAAGCTATGGATGGGGCTTAGCAAGACCAAAGAGGTAAAAATACCATGTCTGACTATTATATATAATCCACCCACCCCAATTTTCCTTTTTTTATCTATGAAAGGCAATAAGCATGTTTTATAGAGGGACATTTGTGTTCAAACAAAGTTCAATAGTAGAGAGTGCATCTCTGGGAAAACTGTAAGGTCAAGGTGCTCTCTGGTCTAGGGTTTGAAACAGTCCATCAAAGAAAATTTTAGGATGACTATGGCACTCTTTCAGATTAAAAAGCCTTTATTATCAGATGGCTACATAAAAATAAAAATCGACAAACTCTCCAACACATTTCGGACCATGCTTTCCTCAGGGAGAGTAACACAGGACATTTGGGTTCATTGACATTTAGTTTTACATGTATTTATTCAGTCGACACTTTAATCCAAAGTGACTCGACTAGAGATAATTAGAAAAAAGATATATAAATTGATAAATAAATCAAAATTAATTATAAAATTATAAAATATAAATCATATTTATATAAATCATATTTATAAAAAAATGACATTAAAAAAATATAACTTTTGAATGGGACATGTACGGTAGTGCATGTAACAAACAGCCGGATATTTACAATACCACACAAAAGTTTGGGTAAAATAATTTTATTTGGCAAGGATGCATTATATTGATCAAAAGTGACAGTTATAAAAATATTAAGCATTCAAAAACTTTCCAACATTGATAATAATGAGAAATGTGTCTTGAGCACCAAATCAGCATATTATTTAATTCTGAAGGATTGTGTGACACTGAAGTAATGGCAGTTTTGCAATCATAGGAATAAATTACATTTTAAAATATATTAAAATAGAAAACAGTTATTTTAATATTACGGTTTTACTGTATTTTTGATCAAATAAATGCAGCCTTGGTGAGCACTTCTTACAAAACATTAAAAAAATCACGGACCCAAAACTTTGGAAGTTTACGGACATCACCTTTAACTCTAATACACAATATAATGCGATGCATATTTCAAAATATGGGTAAAACACCTGTGAAAAATCAACGGAAGACATGGAAGATATGGACATTATATATATGTATATATATGTATATATTATTTTATACATATATATATATTTATATTATATATATAAAAACAAACCTATTCCTTTTTATATCCGATGTAGTTTAGGCACAGAGTCAAGTTTGAGGGAATGGTTCCTCCACCCTCTAGATCCTCCCAGGGCTCTGAAGCCTCCAACTGCTCTGTCCCGCTCAGTCCCATCGGTCCTCGCCAGGTATCATCTGCCTCTTCTTTGGCCTCCAATTCATCTGTCATTTCAGGGTGTTTTGACTTCCACCATTATGTGGACCGCCTGGTGCCCTGTGTTGACAGCCTCATGGCTGGTTTCGACCGCGTCAACCAGCTGACCGAAGAAGTCTATAACTTTGAGCTCCAACTTCAGCAGATCCAGAGCAGAATTTACCAGAGAAGAAAGTCTCAGCCTCAGCAGGTGACCTTCGAGGGATGTGATCCAACACCAAAGCTGCCACCGCTTCCTCGACATCCATCTACCTCTGTTTTGGAATGTAACCACACTCCAGCTTCTCTTCAAGGTGTCATTAATACCCTTCCACATTGCCGTGCTACACACTCAGAGTCCTCCCTGATGGGGCCTGCTGCTCAGTTAGGTAAGAGAATACTTTCTGCACTGGATGGAAGCATGAACAGCCCAAACCTGAGAAAATGGGGTGTCCCAAGACGCAGGGCCTGGAATTCAGTCACCTGCCATTCTGCTGACACTGCTCAGAGGTTACCTGGATCTCACAGCACTGTGGCCTTGCCAGTGAGACCCCGGAGTGAAGACGGAGACCGAGAGCATGTATGTGACAGCATGCCGATTAAGAGACGGGCATGGCACACTGAATAAAAGTTTCAAATATGGTATTATTATATTAAATATTAATAATAATTTTGCTCTTCATTTTTATTTTTTGCACAGTGTTAGTCACAACCGCATTAGATTTTGTAAATTGTATTTCTACCGCTTGACTGGTGGTTTTCCATTGCTTTTTATGTAGAAGTGTTTGTTTACCTTTGATTTCACTACAATCAGTCTTCTGGGACACGTATCTTGTTGTATGTTGAGGAATCTGTTTTGTTTTTGCCAATAAAATGACACGGCCATGCAAACTGTGGCTTAAAAATCAGAATATTTGTGTTTATCATTCAAAACCTTTTAAAAGAGTTAAGGTTAGTATAAATTAGCAAGATTAATCCATGTTGTGACCTGCTGCCATGTTTGAGCAAATGAAGCTCTTTATATTTACGTTATTTGCTTAATATGTCAATTTAAGTTAAACAAACTTCATTGTATCAGTTTTTTCTACCAACAAATCTGATCTTAAATTAAAGCTTAATTAAACTTTCAATCCTTTTTATAGCAATTCAGTCTGCTAACACTTAAAATATGTCTAAATATATATACTTTATTATTATTATTATATCTAATATGTAAAAATCCTTGAAACGAGACAAAGACATCAAAGAGGTAGTTTACCCAAAAATGAAAATCTTGTCATCATTTATTCACCTTTATAATATTCTTTCTTCTGCCAAACACAACAGAAGATACTTTGAATAATGGTGGGAATCAAACAGGTTTGGTTACCACTCACTTTCACTGCATGGACAAACCCTCTGAGACATTTCTCAGAATAGCTTATTTTATGTTCCACAGAAGAAAGAAAAAGGTTTGGAATACATTTTTGGATGAACCTCTCTTTTAGACTTGTTTTCAAGTTGGTCATGTTCCTCATTTGTAAGTCGCTTTGGATAAAAGTGTCTGCTAAATGATAATGTAAATTTATCTTGATTTAAGGAATAAGAGATATTTTTTAATGGAAAATAAGTAAAAAAATAAAAAAAAAAGACCAACTAAATACTAATCGTTTGTTGAAGTGTATGTATTCTCAGCACAGAAGATCCCTAATGCAACCACTAGATGGCACTAACATCAAACTAATATTCTGGGAAATGCAAACAGGCTTTGCCTTCCAAGTCCTGATTTCAGACTCTTCCCAAGATCAGCAGTCAGTTGCAATAAACCGCTTAAGCTAAGAAAACCCTTAGTGCTAATACCCGTACAATTATTACGAAAGGTATTTTTCAGCTTAAGGGGTTTATGAAGCTGGTATGTCCTCACATCCACTTTTAGAGCAGACTGTTACAGTAAGCAACAGAAGAACTTGCCATGTACTTTCACTGAAACCTAGTTTTGGATTCAAATACTGGTTTATCCCAAAAGATCATTTCAGAAGTGTCATGGTCAAGCATCTATGAAGCAAAGCACGTGGATGATTCCTGTTTTAATTCTTCCTGATCATGCATGCGGTCCAGTAGGCTCTGGTTTACTTGTATAATAAATCAGCACCAATTACTGAGTGCTTCAGAGTGAATGTGAACACACATTAAATGCATTTCTCATAAACCAATGAAAGATGCACTAAGCAGATTTAAGAATGAGAATCAGAAAGAGAACAACACTCCATACTAAGTCCTTTTTCTCTCTTTCCCTTCATATTATATAAGAGGCATAACCCAGTGCATGCAGGAATGACGTAACCTGACACTGTCCACAGTCTTCCCTTCCTCGTGTAACAGCTTTTGCATCCCCAAAGGCTTGACCCAGTCCCAAGACCTCCTCCCGCAGTCCGTCTGCCTCTCAACATCCCTACATGTTCCCCCCTTGCCTCGGCCCCCCGTTGCGCCTAAGCTTCTTACTGTTCAGAATATTCCCATACAGCCATTCATAAACACTCTGAGGGTCAGGAAGTGCTTCTAAAAGTGGAGACGGGACTGGTTTTATAGGATTCCCAGTGTTGTCATGCAGTTTTATTCATATTTTGTTCAAATTAAGCTTGTATTTCTATTTGAGTGTGCAGAAAAACTTCACCTCTCCAGCAGTCTAAGCCCTAGTAAGTGGCATCTTTATTGTTTTTATCCTCTTTTGAAATCTCCCACGGAAAGCACACCTCTGAAACACATTCTACTCTCAGAATATGACTCATCATGTTCCCTTTGCTTCTTAAAATGGAGAGAAAAAATTATTATTAAAATTATTTTTCAGCATTTATTTTTTATTTTATTCAGCAGTATTTTTATCCTGTTTTCCAATAATACTACATAAAAAACACATTCAAGGCATAAACCTCACAAAATGTTGTTATTATCATATAGTCTATAAATATAAGAGTATTATTATTGTTTGTGTAAATTTCCTTATCAAGTATCACTTGTTTTAAGGATGTTTTAATATTTTTACTGGAAAACAAGGGAAAATTACTTTTAGATGAAGTGATTTTTTTGCGGTGTAGAGGTAAGCAGAAGATTTGGAGGCCCCATTTCCCTCTTTCTTTCACTGCATGTCCTCACTTGACCCTTGTGAGTGGAGCTGAGGAAATGTGGGGAGAGAGAGGGAGGTTCTTACATAATGGGTTTATACGTGTGCAGTTATAAACACATGTGTGTGGGAGGGAGGAGACAAACAGACAGACAGACAGACAGTGGGGATGTGTCACAGTCAGTTTCTGTGTATTATAAGCAAGGCAGCATGAAAGCTGGGAGGTCATGGTCAGAGATACTTGTTTCTCTGTTTCTGTTTTGTAAGGATAGGCCATGTAGAATGTGATCAGTTGTGGGATGCTTTTTACTTTTTATAAACCCAAAATCAATTAAGATTTCAATTAAATATAAAAATACTAAGTGCAGCTTTAAATAATACAATAAGTAATAACAAAGTGGTAAGTAATGTATTGTATATACATATATACTTAATATTTATTTCATAATTTAAAGTTTGGAACTATATTTAAATGTTCGGTAACACTTTAGTATAGGTACCAATTCTCACTATTAAAGCTGCAGTCTGTAACTTTTTTGTTTAAAGGGGTCATAGGATGGCCATTTTCCAACATAGACGCATTTATGTAGATCGGGGGTGCATTCCCTTCAGAAACTAAATAATCCACTGCGATTTCAGCGGCTCAGATGTCGGGAGTAAATGAAGACTCCTGTGTTCATTATTACATCCAACAACAGAACACCTCAATCGCTTAGGAGTCATTAGGGCCTTTCGCACCGCGGGAACCTTTTCATAGTACCAGAACTAATTGTGGAACTACCCACTTTTTGGCGTTTTCGCACCGCTGGAACTGGGTGCGATTTTAGTACCGGACTGCCTTTTTCGAGAACCAAATTAGCTCCTAC